CCGGGGCGTGCGCGAGCGCGGGGGGGGGGCGAACGCGCGCCGACCGTCGTAATGCGCCGCGCGGTCCCGCGCGGGCGCGACACGCGGCCGTCGCACGCGCGCTAAAGCGAGTTCCTCGACAACCCGCCGCGTCGCAGCGCCCTTCCCCACCCCCTGGTGCCCCGGGGGTCCGCCGGGGCGCGTAGGTGCATCGAAAAAAAAAAGTCAAAAAAAAAGTGCCAATAGCTCCCATAGCTCGAGGGGTCAAAATTAACTCCGATCTGCTTTATGGGCCCTGCGCTGTCTGGGATACCGCCATGACGATGATGAGGGGCACACGGAGAATGGCCTTCATGGTTGAAATTGGCGTCGGCGGGCGATGATCCGCGGCGGACGTTAGGGTCCGGGCTGCGCCGAAGCCGTGCGCAAGGGACAGCCGTCGATTGAGGCCTCCCCAACGCGACGGCCGGGCGCGTGGGCCCGAGCCGCAATCTGCCTCCCCTGGCCTGGGCTCGCTTACTACTAGCCCGGGCCTAGCCGAGACCCACTAGGGAACCGGACTCTCGCTGGGAGGAGCGCCTAGGCGCGTCGCGTCCGGGGTGAGGGACCCCAAAGAGCGCGCTGGTCCAGCGCTCTCGCTGCCTCGTGGCCGGACCCCCGGCCAAGCGCGCGCGCTCGGTCCAAGCTCTTGAACCGCTCTCCGAGCGGGGCAAGGTCGGCCCGCAGGCGGGTGGCCGGGCCTCGCTCGCCCCCCGAGAGCCGAGGCCGCAATTTGTGTTTATCCCAACCGCACGAGCGTGAGCCGCCAGAGGCGCGCGAGGCGGAGGTACACGTCCGCCTCGGAGACGGGGTCGCTCTCGTCCTCGTCGAGGTCCGCGACGAGGTCCGCGGCGAGCTCGGCCGCCGACAGCTCGCCGTCGCAGCGCTCGTAGATGGCCGCGTCGAGCGCGTCGAGGAGTTCGACGTCGCCGCGCCTCGTCCGCGCCGCGTCCTCGAGGGGCTCGTCGAGGTCGAGGACGCGGAGCGTCGATGTTTCCCGGGGCTCGCCGTCGTCGCCGCGCTCGACGGTCGTCGTCAGCGCGTAGCGCGCGTGCTTGCGCGCGGGGAACGACGCGGCCGCGCCCGGGAACGACCCCGCGGCCTCGTCGACGGGGCAGCGCCGCGCGCGCCGCAGCTTCCCGGGCGTCGCGAGGAGGAGGTCGAGGCGCCGCGTCGGCGACGCCGCGGCGCGCGCGTTCGCCGCGAGGAAGCTCGACACGGCGCCGCGGGGGCTCTCCGCGACGGGTTCGGCCGGCTTCGTGTTGAACGACGTGTTCAAAACGAACGGCACGCCCGTGAGCGCAAAGACGGCGGCGATGAGCGCGCGGTAGCGCGCGAGGCGCGGCTCCGTCGACGCCACGGTCTGGGGCCGCGCCGTGTCGTC